GGAAATCGAGCTCCATTTTCCTTTTCCAGCAGCGCCTGTGAGAGTTCTGTGCCCAAACCCGAGGGGAAGGGTTAAAACCCCTCAGACCCTGAATTACCCGGAATTTGGGATGGCCCAGACAGATGTGCTGCCGTGGCAACGCATCTGCTCCAGCCCGTCTGCCTCAGAAGGGGCTGGAGTTTGGGCAGGGGAAGGCACGGGATCATTTATTGAACCCCGAGGTGAAATCTTGGCCACAGGATCATCTATTCAACCCCAGGGTGAAATCCTGCTCCCACTAAAATCCACGAGGGAAGGTGACAAGGAGTGTTTCCAGCAGTTTTTTACAAACTTTGCCAGAGCCCTGTCCAAAAGGATTTTTGGTTTGTGCACCCCTTGTGTGCAGCACTACCTGGAGCTTTGTCATTGCAAGTCCTTCGTCTCTTTATTTTCAATTAGTGAAACACCTAATTTCCCCATTTCTGCAATTCCTGTGATCGCCATGGATGTTTTTCCAGAGAGGAATTGACATTTTCTGCCCTGCCTTTCCTCTCAGCGTTGCCTTTGTTTCCTCTGACAAAGCCCTGAAGATCCTGCCTGGCAGAGACCTTCCCTGGCACGGTGCTGCATTTGTTAAAGTTGTTTGGCCGCTGCAGGAAACTTTTCTCCTCCTCTGCAGAGAAGGCAGCCTGCTCCTAATTGCTTTCTGCAGCTTGGCCAAGTGAAATCCATCCCTGTGCCCTCGGAGATGNGCTGGCACTCCTGGACAGATTCCCCGAGCGGCTCCGGCAGCCTCGGCTCCTCTGCTCTGCCTCCCTGGGAAATCCTGCACCGCCTGCGGACGGGCTGTCCCTGCTGCTCCCCGGGTCCCCTCTCACGGCAGAGAGGAGAAACATGGACAATGGAATGGGAAATAAAATGGGTTATGCCTGATGCTCCCCAAACCCCCCTTACACGAGAGAAGAGAAAAATGGAAAATAAAATGGGGTGTCCCTGCTGCTCCCCGGGTCCCCTCTCCCAGCAGAGAGGAGAAACATGGACAATGAAACGGAAAATAAAATGGGGTATCCCTGCTGCTCCCCGGGTCCCCTCTCACAGCAGAGAAGACAACAATGGAAAAGGAGATGGGTTATGCCTGATGCTCCCCAAACCCCCCTTACACGAGAGAAGAGAAACATGGAAAATAAGATGGGTTATCCCTGCCGCTCCCTGTGTTCCCTCTTAAACCTGAGAAGAGAAAAATGGAAAATGAGATGGGTTATCCCTGCTGCTCCTGGTGTTCCCTCTTACACTAGAGAAGAATGGAAAATAAAATGGGTTATCCTTGCTGCTCCCCGTGTCCCCTCTCACAGCACAGAAGAGAAAAATGGAAAATGAAATGGAAAAGGAGATGGGTGATGCCTGATGCTCCCCAAACCCCCCTTACACGAGAGAAGAGAAAAATGGAAAATAAAAAATAAAATGGATTATCCCTGCTGCTCCCCGTGTCCCCTCTTATACCAGAGAAGAGAAAAATGGAAAAT